GGGGGGGGTAATTTTAGTAAGATTGTCAAGGCACTTGCAACATAAATAGGCCATATTTAAGGGCCAAAGATTAGAGGTGTAACTAGAGAGTAATGTGCACTTAAAGGAGAGAAGAGGACGATAGATTTTTAATAGGATAGAAGGAGCAAACCATATCAGTGAACCCACCAACCACCCACAAACACAGAGAGATAGAGAGGGAGACAGAGAGACAGAGGGGGGGAGGGAGGGAGAGAGAGAGAGAGAGAGAGAGAGAGAGAGAGAGAGAGAGAGAAAGAGAACGCGACAGATTAAAAGAGAGATCAATTACTGTTTGAGATAACAGTTCAGCACCAAGGCAAATCAAGTCCGTACAAAAAATAATAACGATCATGGACAGCAAATAAGAAAAAAAATACCAGAGTGAATCTCTCTCTCCTTCTCTCTCTTTCGAGAGATTTGAATTACCAGCCTGGTTTTTCGGGAGATGTCTCAGAGTCAATGAATGCAAAGATGAGGAATAGGTTTGATTTTTCCTTCCCGGTGGGAGGCTGAAGGGACATAACTCAAAAATACTAAATGTATACTCGATTACCTCTCCTAATTGCTGCTCGAATACCTGACAATTTATTTAGCTCTTTCAAAGACAAGCATGTGTGCTCGTGTCTGAACGTGAGTGCGTGTGTAGTACATACCTGTCAGCATGGAGGCAATTATGTGCCCACGCCCAAAGAAATCATGTAAATTGTACGTTTCTGAGGGTGCTAGCATGTGAATATAAGGTGACACAACCCCAGTGGGCAGGCCAATGTGTAATTAACCACTGCAACTCACACAAGCAAACACATTATTGTAATTACTGAGGTAAGCAAAATACTAGTCATCAGCCAATGAGTCAATGTACTACTGCAGGCGCGATAAAACGATATCAAGATATAAAAACAAAAATGTAATTGGGTCACCAGGCACAAATAATCTGGTCACAGCACATTTCTTTTCATTGATAATTTTGTCCTGAGTCTGACTAAATGTACCAGCTAAAACAAAGAAAGTAGAAGAAGGATCATGGAGCTCATATCAACTGTAAAGACTCAAGAGGAAGACTTGACAGACTTGCATGGAAAACACAATAAAATTGTGCATTTGTAAAGCACAACATGGGTTTCACACAATGGAAGCAGCAACAGTAGCCCCTGCATTCAGGAAAGTCTATAACAAATTGGAATAACACATAAAAGTGAGCCACTTAAGCGACACATTTTGCCACTTTCCGATTCACAACAAAGGCATTTTCATTATTTTATTTATTCCCTTCAGGACCACATAGATTTAAACAGGCTGGACAAAAAGGAGATTGGACAGAACTTAATTAACTGAAGTTATTCACAAAGTTCTCAATCTCACTGTTTACAGCATTAAAGCCTGAAATAGAATGGGGACATCACTGACAAGACACTGGGAATGGGAACAAGATTTCATGAATGTCTTCTTTCAGAAACAGTGGCATGAGAACCCTGTATCAAACAATACCACAGTTCACTAGTCAGACCTTTGGGCCTACAAAAATTTCAGAATGATGTGCACTCTCTAAAAGCAAACAAAACTGACCTTAGGCTCAGGGACACGGGCGAGTTCTGCCAGGTTGTGACAGAGCCGGACATGCTTCAGCTGGAAAGGGTTGTTCCTGTGGTCCTCAAACGACCTCATCACTTTGTCACTCATCCACTCAACCTGCACACATGAGACAAGGTTTTGGGGGTAATTTAAAAACTTGGAGCATCACTTTCATTCCTTAAAATGGTTAAAACCACTGTAAAAGATAGATAACCCTACAGTGAAGGAAATCCTTTTATGGTTTTATTTTACCACTCTCTTAGAACAAAATTAGGTACATGTTAAGGTAAGATCTCTCACTCAACAAGGAAATAAGACTAGAAAAGCAACTGACTCTCCAAACAGTAGGCCATTGTACTTATAAACAGTGACTCAACCCATACGAAGACATAATATTTTTAACTTGTAATGATGGCTGGGGAAAAACAAGAGAAACAGACCAATACAGAAACAACAACAAAATTCCATAAAATTTCAAATTTTAATTAATCAAATTAACCTTTATCATCTTCATTAAGTACCAAAATAAATAACTATGGTATTTTCCTAGCCACTGCACATCTTCAATTCTTTATCAGCGCACACAGAGAGTGGAAAAAGTATTCACCTGAGATTTTGCAAACTCCACTACATTAAAGCTGACATTGTTTAATAGTGCCAGAGAATATGCAGTCAACCCAGACTCTGAACTTCTCCACATCTGATCCTGAAAGCAAACACCAAGATGAAGAGATAGAAATTTCTTGTTTAAGTTGGACATGTATATCTCACAAGACAATAGCATTGTGGCATAGAACTCAAAACAATATACAACCGTAAAGGTGTACTTCACTTATAACATAAAACTGCAAAGAGCTGCTCTCATAAACAGAAAAGTCTATGAAGCCTACAAGAATTATTTTATGCACATTTTAATTTTCACAATGGATATCTTGAAACGCGTTCAAGTCTCAAAGTAAAGCACATAACATTTTGCATTAAGTTTATTTAGCATTTTTTTAAACTGCCTTAAAATAGGAGAATAACAAAATAAAACATAAACTATGTATGCTTTATTAGACACTGTGACTCGTGTGCAATAATAAAGCATGTTACGACATCATTTGATTCCAAAGTGGGAAAGTCATTTTATTGATTCTCCATCTCTCTACTAGGAGAAACGTACCCTATATATCTCAAATTAGCCCTTGCAGTCACCATATTTGCTTAAAATTACAAGCAGAACTTACCATCAGCTGTGCCAGTTCCAGCATGCGACCTGCTGTATCCACTGCCACTAGAACATTCCCATCATTTCTCATTGTCTGCAGAATGGTGGCTGAAAACAAGAATAGAAGAGATCAACCTTCCATTTCATTGTAGGCCTGCACTTTGGCGACATTTTCTTGTAACTCAGCACAAAAGTAATGTTCTCTTTTAGATATCAATCATACTTGTAGATGACTTTCTAGGCAGTGAATTTTCAAAATGTAGTGGTACTGTGTGTATGTGTGTGTGTGTGAGAGAGAGAGAGAGAGAGAGAGAGAGAGAGAGAGAGAGAGAGAGGGAGAGAGAGAGAGAGAGAGAGAGAGAGTGAGAGAGGGAGCGAAAGAGAGAGAGAGAGAGAAAGAGGAGAGACAGACAGACAGACAAACAGACAGACAGATAGAGAATTTATATGAAAATCAGCATTATGTCTAACAACATAACGAATGGACACTGAACAATAAAATGAGCTTTCGTCCACTGCAGTTTTGGGTGTTCTAACAATTGACTTTTCTCCACAGACATTTCAAAATCTTCACAACAAACAAATGAGACTGACTGTTCATCATTGTTCGGGCAAAGAAAGCAAACTGACACAATAATAATCAATTAGTGCAAGAAAATAAAAGTAAGATACATAGTCAGATAAAAGTGTGAAAGACAAAAAGTAGGAACAACCAGAGGTGCCCTCCAATCACCGACAGCAAGAAGAGAAAAATAATAAGTCAAACACAAACAAATTTAGTCGGTATTCACACTGGAATGTTAAAAAAAATAAAAGTAACGCATACTCATCAACTGTTCATCTCTCTGTCTTCGACTAGGTTGGTTGTAAAGTGAGTTGAAGGAATCTGTGATGAGGACAGACGGGCGGCTAATGGTGTCCAGGTGACACCCATTCAAGTGCCTGAAAACAAGTGGGGGAGGAGGGGGGGGGGAGACACAATCAAGTTGAAGCTTTGATATCTATTGAGTACAACACAAAACAAATTGGGATATATCAAAAGGGAAATGTATCCTGTAAAAAAAAAACCAAAGAAAGAAAGGAAGAGGTAACATTGAATACCTCAGAATAAAACCTCTTAGAGAGTGAATACATTTTAATATTTTTTGTAAAACTCTTACTTACAACCTTATGAACATAAAGAATAAAAGTTCAATTTCTGAGCAAAAGAAAAACAAAAGCCCTAACTTTAACTAAAGATACATACTGAAAGCAATCAAGAACAGGAGGTACTGAAGTGAAAGATATGAATCCAAAAACAGAGACATGCTTACTGTTACCTTTCTTTTTTATGATTGTAATCCACTGCATAAATGATTTCCTCCTCCCCATCTTTCACAATTTTCCAGATGGTACCACCAATCATATGTCCAGCTGGGAGAGGAGTAATCTGTAGACCATGTCCTTTACCTGGAATTGAAAAAAAAACACTCAAAAAAACAATGTTGGCAGGGCCTTTCAGCTCAGGGAAATAATGCGAAAGGTGAGTTATTGAAACATAAGCAAAAAATCAAACAGAGCAACATGACAGGAACAAAATTTTTTTTTTTTATATATATATATACACAAAGATACACAGAAAAATAATAAGTCTACTGAAAGACAATAATCAGCAAAATAAACTTTCGCGCCTAAAACCTAACTGTTTCCTCTTGTTTTTCTTCAGTTTGGGTTTTATAGTCCACATCATTATTTCCTGAAAGGACATTACACTTTCTCAAAGCCTCTATATGCATTATTATCACTGAAAAAACCAATAACAGCTGCGGAAATAAAGGAACACAGAGTGATAAAAAAAAAAACTACTTTAAGAGCTACTATGACAAAACATAATGGACTGAGAGGTTAGGCAGCAGAAGCTCAAAGAATGAATAAAAAAAATTTTTTAAAGAAGAAAGTACCTTTTAGTGTGATAACCTGGGAATATTCCAGCTGTTCTATTTTGTCAAAAGCCACATCCACATCATCCAGCGTGAACTTGTCAAAGTCTTGACTGTTGTGACGAGACTAATGAAATGAATAATGAATAATTCTGAAGGACCATACCATATAAATCCAATTAATTGTACAAAACTAAAGGATCAGCACTGAGACAATTTTAATAGATACAGTACACCCTTTAAAAATTTTCTCCAAAAATTCTCAATATTTCTCTTAACCAAAATTGAGAAAAAGAATTTCATTTTCCAGTTTCCCCCTTGATGTACTAGCAGAAAATAAAAGTTATTCTTTTTTAAATGGACACACACAATAGTTTCAAAAAAGCATTTAAGTGCAAAGAAAAAAGTCCACAAACCTGATAGAGGTCATACATGAACATTTGTCCCATTTTATAAACCGGCACAGTGGCATAAATGGGACAGTTGAGATGGCCCTTTCCCACAAGATAAGGTAGAGCTCCCAAGTGAAGATGATCTGGGTAGCTCAGGAGCACAGCATCTACTTGATGACTCACCCTAGAAAAAGGAATACTCATTAGTTTGTTCCAGCAAATGCAATGGTCATTACGAAATAATACAAATGATGACATCAGTGTCTTAAGAGATGTCCTGCATAAAGAGTGTTATTTGTGCAATGCTTTACATCTTTAAACATGCAGTCTTACACAAAGATTTTGGACTTGGTGGTGCATTCACAAATTTGTTGTCAAACATAACTACTAAATCTATAGCTGTTGTTTTAGAAAATCACTTTCTCATTTCCAACAACAAGAAGACCAGTCCTATCAAATTATGAAACTGAAGACTATAACAGGTTACATGAAATTATTTCAGTCTTAATGTCATTTAACCATGGTTCATTGAACATCACCCAGGTCTTGACTTTGCATATTTTGTCATACTTTGAGCTATTAAATGTAAGGCATTGAGGTGAAATCAGACGCTCGTCAAAATAATGAAATCAAAGAAACCTGCATTTTACGGCCAGTTTGGCAATTATTATCAATTTTTTTGTGGTTTTTTGGCTAAACAGTTTTTACGCCCATTTAAAAACATATCTCTGTGTGGATTTTACTGAAAAACGATTACAAGCACAGAAAATGTAAATTTCCAGTTTCCTTGGACACTCAAGCTTTGGAAGTCTCCAAACTTTGGCAGCCAATTTCTCAATAATCCTACATCTGGAATCAGGCGACCAAAAGGATAAATGAAAAACCTGCAATGACTCCAGAACCATGCCACAAGAATAATTCTCAAAAAATGTATATGAGAAAACATAACATCAATGCTGTTACAGCTACATTGGCTCCCTGTTAAAGCCTGTATTTATTACAAAGTTGCAGTAATGTGCTTTAAATTAAAGTATTAAAAAGATCTGGCATCATAATATCTATCCTTACCCGTCCATCAGAAATTTTATTAGAGTAATTAGAAGTGTTGAAAAATTAAAATTAAACACAATTCACACAATTTTTTCTTGTTTTCTACGTCTCTACTACTGACCTCCGCAGATCTTGAACAAAATCCATACTGAAATCCTCATCCCATCCGCAATCAAGAAGAAATCGAAACTCATCAACTTGCAGTAGGTAGCAAGGTGGGGATTCATCTCTTGCCCCAGAGAGCGCATGAAGTTTGATGATAGAAGTCATGATGAACTAACTAGATCTATGACTATGACAACATAATACAGCTGAAAAAGAAGCAGAGAAAAACATAAACATTTCTTTAGTCTTACTGGTAAAATATTTGAAGAGGTTAGCCGCAATTAATGACGCTAGACGGTTTGCCGAAGTATGGCTAGAATGGCAGGCTAGCCATACTTAATGACGGCTAGACGAGCTATACTTAAGGATGGCAAGATCTACACTGGCTGGCTATTTGAATTTATTTGAAAGGATCGTTGTATTTGCTGAATCATTGATAGAAATACAGTCGAACCTGCCTTAACGGAAACCTGTGTAAAACGGAAACCTGTCTTAAAGGAATCTCCCCGCTCCCCCCTTGATATATTCCTCTTTAATTACCTGTATAAAACGGAAACCTGTCCAACGTGGAAACGGAAAAAAAAATCTGCTCCCTTCCGAGGGTTTCACCTGTCTAAGACGGAAAATGCTTTGCCCGCTCAGCCCTGATATGAAACAAATCTCGCAAGTTTGGTTCCGCCGGCTCTAAACTTAACGCTATGGCCATGCCGCTGGGCGAGGAAGGAGAGTAGGGGTGCAATTTGGGGGTAGATGTTACCCCATCATGTGAGTCCTAAGCGATGCAGATAGTCAGTGTAGTGAGGGTGTGAAATTTCACGACTGCCTGTGAGAGTGCTCGAGTAGCGAGCCACCCCAGAAACTTTCCTGGGTAGCCAGAAGCCAGAGGTAGGAAAGTAGATTGACCAATGCCTGTCGCCCTGATCGTATAGCCAGCCGAGAAAAAAGTTCCTCGAATCGTTGTTACAATGATGGCAGTGAGGGGTTGCATTAGTGGGTGGGGCTAAGGGTGGAAGCAAAGGAGATGTTCAAATGTTTCTGGTTTTAATAGGTCAGACAGTGGTCCTATGAAAAGCAAGCACTGGTGGTAACTGGATAAGTAAGACTGACGCAGGTCATTATCAGACAGGATAGCAAAGTAACTAAGAGGTGTGAAGTTCTGACCACTCCTAGCCGATCGGACAAGCGATCCTTGATCCCACCGACTGGGCTTTTGAACCCCCACCCCCCTGAATTCCCCTGTCTAAGACGCAATTTTTTTCTGGCTCCCTTGCGATTCCGTCTTACACTGGTTCGACTCTACTGGCTAATGTGGTAGGGTTCACTTAGCTCAGCCCACCTACATGGCCACTTTTGTCCTTTGCAATCACTTCTGTTTCTTATGTAAACAAACAGGAAGGCAATTTCCAAAGAGCCCAATCATTTTTTACTTTGTTTTTGTCAATTTGATCGTCCACACCGATAGACAGTATTCAGAAAGGGAGTGTATACAGACCCGGTAACCGGGAACAAAATCACAAAGTATGCAGACCCGGTAGGGGAACTCGTCTTTTGTGATTTCTGAAAGTTTCAGCGCCCTCTTGGCTCAGGGTAGACCATAGAGATGTACCCTCCCTAGGCTCTTCTAGATCATGGCCTAGGTCTAGATCTAGGCAGACAGACATAAATCATTGATCTAGTTTCGAGGCTAGCCTAGATCTAGATCTAAATGAAGATTGCGGATGTCTTTTCGAAGAACGATCGTTTTTCCTCCGTTTTGGTGTTGGAGGAATCACAATTTGAAGAAAAGAGCAATGTCATTATAATTTCAATCGAGCAGTCACCCTCTCTATTTCTCTGCCACCCCCACCCCCTCTCTCTCTCTCCTCTGTCTGTGTATCGCTCGCATTCTCTTTTTCTTTGTTAGATTAGTCTCTGTCTTTCTTTCTCCCCACCTATTTCCCATTCTACCTTTCTCTTGTTCCCTCCTGCCAACGGGGGCATGTCATATACATTTTGCTAGCACTTACCCCTGCTCTCTCTCTTTCTCTTTCTCGGTCTCTCTCTCTCACACACACTACCAGGTCTGGGCGCTGAAACTTTCCGAAGTCACAAAAGAGTTCCCCTACCGGGTCTGTATACTTTGTGACTTTGTTCCTGGTTACCGGGTCTGTATACACTTCGATTCAGAAATTAGGAAAAACACATCTAGAGTCTAGCCAACGTTGGCAGTCTCACCCAGGGTGAGAGGTCGATTGTATTTTTATTCTTACCATTCTCACCCGGGGTGAAAATAGCCACACAAAAAATAGACTAAACTTCCTAAATTGACTGTCCCCTAAACTCAAAACTAGTTCATTAAGTAAGGCCTACTGACGACTATATTAGATTCTAGATCTAGAATATCTAGATCTAAATCTAGATCTAGATGTAGACTGACTTCTGACTGACTACTCTGAATCCTACTACAAGATCAAGACGTCTATCATTCTCTAAACTAAAACTGTCTAGAATCTAGATTCTAAATCTAAACTAAAACAAACTCAGAGTGAGTGATGTGATCTCTGAGGAATTTGAATATCTGTTTATCCATGAACTCTATAACATCAAAACTCTCAAATTCCCAATTACAAAAGTAAGGCTAGGCCTATTCCTCGAAGAATATTCCTCAAACGCAATTATTCGCGTTCAAATGGAGAATGTAAAGAATACGAACCCACAAATTGTAAACAGTGCCTCAATCATGGGCGCTGACATTTTATTCAATGAACCAATCAAGTTGTAGGTTACTTATAAGCCAATCAAATATCAGTTGGCTGAGTGAAAATCTCCACCGGAAGTACTGTCCATGTGTTATTGACTGGGTTGACTGCTGTGCTGTGCTAAAGTAGAAATCTAGCCAAAAATAGATTTTAGTGTGCTCGAGCGAGTGTAGTGTGGCACCGGTGTCATCATCTGTTCCTCGTTCCCAATTCAATGTAAGCTTTCCAGACATTTGGAACACAAAAAAAGAAACAAAGCGATAAGACTTGTGTAAGAAGTCATCTAGATCTAGATCTAGGTCAAGCTTATGGCTTTTATTGTTCGGTAAAGATTCTAACAAGTTTTTCTGTTTTGGCGGAGGCGGAGGGAGTTTTCAGCATCACGACAGCACGATTCTTGATCTTGTAGTTGAAATCTACAGTATTGTAGCATTGTAGCTAGATTAGCTGGTGTGCCGTATGGGGAGGACTTCCGTAACGAGCGACCATTATGAGACAGAGCAGAATTGAGGGCTTGGGGTAGGGGTAGGGTTAGGTCTAGGCCTCTTCTTTATTGTGTTTGATGGGTTGATCGCTCGTTACGGAAGTCCTTCCGCCGTATGTCATGTTGTTTACGACCGCGATCTGTTCAAATGTCAAATCTGTTCGGAGTCCGAATAAACAAAAATATGGCCAGCTCTAGATATATTCGAACTCAAGTCCGAATAACGGCACTACTTGGATATGGTGGTCCCGACTTGTGTAGGCCTAGATCTAAAAATCTAGATCTACTGAAATATCGATACGGATTTAAATAGTCGGTATCAATGTTTTATGTTTTATCAGTAGCCTAGATCTAGATCTATATCTGAATTTGACCACGACTTGATGTTTTGCAATTAGGTTTGAAAGGCTATCTCTCCATATCGGCACGCAAATCAAAAAGTAATCGTAGACTTAGAACCAGAAGTAATCGTTGTTGGGGTCAAAACTAGATTCTAGATTTTCCCTGTCACAAAAGTCGGGACCACCATATCCAAGTAGTGCCCGAATAACTTTTAGGAAGTGGCTATCCTCACCTGGGGTGAGAGTGAGAATAAAGATACGATTGACCTCTCACCCGGGGTGAGACTTGCCAGCATTGGCTATTCTCACCCGCTATGAAACAAGACCTGTTTTTCCTAATTTCGGAATACTGTCTCGGTGTGGATGATCAAATTAACAGAAGCAAAGAAAAAATGACGTAGCACAAAAGTAAGCTAATTTGATTGTCTACAAAGATGCAGTGGGTGTTTCACTTTTCGAATCGAGCCTAACTACACCTACGCGGGTCGCCATTTTGTTTTGCCTGGAGGTTCTCGCAAGATCTACTCTTCCTCGTCTCTCTCTCTCTATAGGCCTATATATCTGTCTCTTTCTGAAAACTGTCTATCAGTGTGGACGATCAAAGTGACAAAAACAAAGATAAAAAATTATGTTTAAGCACAAAGTAAATTAATTTGGTCATCTACGAAGAATCTACGGCTGTTTAACTTTTCGAATCAAGCCGAACTACGCGGGTCGCCTTTTTGTTTTCCCGGAAAGTTCTTAGTGCAACTCCTCTCTCTCTCTCTCTCTCTCTCTCTTTCTCTTTCTCTCTCTCTCTCTCTTTCTCTCCCTGCCCACAGACAAAATTGCACGCTTTCAACACATTTGTTCACTGCACAGAATTCTACACTTCTGTTATAACAGTGGTTCACGGTGAACGCAACACTGGTTGGCCTAGGCTATCACGGTGAACGCACACCGGGTGAGAATAGCCAAAAGGCTCGCCTGGGTTAATTATCTATTCGGACTTGGGTCCTAAAAAAATGTTTTATTTATTCGGACTCTCCTTCTAAGTGAGTTATGTGAGTGTAAGGAAGTTACATAATAACTGTCGTCGAGGGATTTTACGTAAAACCAGAATAAAAACTAGAATTGCCTACAAGGACTCTGTAATTGTGTCAAAAGTAAAAAGACAGCACTCTCCTTAGATCTACTCAATGGCAGTGTCTAAATACACAGTAACCGACAACTCATGATCTTTCCACCACCACTACAGCATCATGTTATTTCCACCACCATTTGTCTTTCCACATGTTTAATTTAATTTTGTTGCGTGTTATAGTTTTTCTGTAATTATTTTTTTCTAAATCACATCGCACAAAATGGACAGCCATGGTCTCTTCCCAACACCTCTTCCCACAGCAAGTCGAGAGTGCGATATTGCTACGCGCAATCTCATTGGTCGAGCTAATTAACTTTTGTCCCCGGCAAGGTCAACTCAACTTAGTTGTTCTGTTCAAACTAATGATCCAGGGAGGACCAGTTTAGATAGATCTAGTATCTGGATATTATGTGATTAAAAAAAAAAAATTACAGAAAAACTCAACACACTTCAAATACCAAATTAAACATGTGGAAAGACAAATGGTGTGGAAGTAATGATGATGCTGTAGTGGTTGTGGAAAAACCCTGAGTTGTCATTTACCCTGTACTTAGACACTGCTATTGGGTAAATCTAATGAGAGTGCAGACTTTTGACTTTTGAAACTATTGCACAGTCCAAGTAGGCAATTCTTTTAATTCTGGTTTTATGTAAAATCCTAAATTAAGTTAAGGTGACCTTGCCGGGGGCAAGGTTAATTATGTCAACCAATGAGACTGCGCATACCGATCTCGCACTTTCGGCTTGCTGGGGGAAGAGGTGTTAGGAAGGGGCCACGGCTGTCGGTTTTGTGCGATGTGATTTTTAAAAAATAATTACAGAAAAACTATGACACACAACAAAAATGAAATTAAACATGTGGAAAGACAAATGGTGGTGGAAAGCTAGTTCCTATCATACTTTCCATGCACTGCACATTCTGATGGCGCCGCCCATAACTTGGAGGATCCAAATTACACCATTTGAAATAGATGCCAGTCTTGACTGAGTGTGTTCGACCTTGTTGTTCAATTTGATATATTAATGTACACATTTTCATTTGACTTTTGCTTAGACCCAGTGCCCATTGGCATGATCAGTTCGATTTGGTAGGCGGTGCTAAACAGATTGAGGGCACAAAGCAACCATTGTGGCACAAAACGATCGTCCGACTAGCAGCCTAAGAAAAGACGCGTTTGTTTTCAGGCTGCAAGTCGGGGGATCGGTTTGTAATTAGAGAAGTGACCCCCCAATGGACACTGGATATTATATTTCATTGACTGAATCATTATTTCCTTTTGGCAGATGGCAGAGGAGTCACAAGTAAATCAGATGGAATCCTTGAATATAGGCGAAACTTCAGGAAATCCTGAAGCTGTCGAAGATGTTGTTGACCCTTGGAATGTGCAAACATCTTCCGCCACAGGAATTGATTACGCCAAGCTGATAGGTATTCCCTCAAATATAGTTGAGTGGGTGGTTGGCAGGTGCTCTGGTGTGGTCTGCTTCTTCTATCCTATCAAACATCTATCGTCCTTATCTCCCCCTTCTTTTTCATGTTTGTTACTCTCTTGTAACACCTCTAATCTTCTGGCGCTCATATGACCTTATGCAGTTGTGAGCGCGATAAAACCCTCTACTAAAACTAAAATATAGCTGAGTCTGAGATCATCGTTCATATCAAGGGGTGCATTCATAATTCAACTTTTTAATAGTATTTTTTGTTTCTTTTCTCAGTTTTTCTGTTAATGAGAATAAGAACCAAACATAAAGTTTTAAGATACTCAATACTAACTTTTCACTTCATCGAGAAAACAGCTTTCTGTGCTGTGCTCTAGGTGCATTAAATGATAATTACCCTAAATACAAGGATATACCTAAAACTGTACATTGAAAAGTACCAAAAATTAAGTCAGCACAGACAGAGCGGTGACAGGGACCTGACCCCTGTGACCCTGACGTGATAAGGCGCTCAGCGGGGAACCCTCCTCTGCAACTAAAATTCCACTGCCAGTCCACCGTGTATGCATCATGAAGCTACTGGTACTACCTCCCTGGCAGGCTCCGAACAATTTAGCGACGTGCTCAATCATTACTGAAACATAGCTTAGACCAGTCTCACTCAGCACTTAACAATTTTATTCCCATCTTTGAACTGAAACTGCCTTGACAGCTAAGTATGTCCATGAAAGTATAAGCATCAAATTTATAGATTACTGATATCATTTTTACTTGTTTTCTTTTTCAGTAAGATTTGGCAGCACGGCAATTGATGAAACCCTTGTGCAGAGGATTGAGCAAGTGACGGGGAAACCTGCGCACCCATTTTTGAAACGAGGAATTTTCTTTTCACATCGGTATTTTCCCCCCTTTTTAAAAAAAATAAAGGTTCAATGTAAATTTAGATTCTGGGCATTTTGTTTTGTTTTGAAACTTGACGACAATAACATTTATTTGTCTGATTTAGAATGGTGTCCATATGTGTTGTATATATTTAAGGGTTAGTTGGATTAAGGGGTTCCCATAAAAGTAGATTTAATTGTGTTAAAGAGAATTAACAATGTAAAAGGTCATTTTGAGAAGTTGCTTTCATGATGTATATTTTTAATAAGTTATAAGATAACAAAGTTATGTCAAAGTGTTTTTTTAGATCTTTCTGCTAGCTGTTCCAATAACATCTACATTATTCTTGTTGAATTTGTGTTTCAGTGAAATGAACAAGATCCTAAACCTGTATGAGCAGAAGAAACCATTTTACCTGTATACTGGAAGAGGGCCTTCATCTGGAGCAATGCATGTTGGACATTTGGTGCCATTTATGTTTACAAAGTGAGTCTTTTTTGTCCTAACGAAAAATTTTCTTGCATATAAACTGTATGTATGCAGCAGAGCTGCCTAAATCTCCCGATTTTTCCAGTAGTCACCTATTTTGGGCCTGTTCTACTGCCATCCCGATAAAGGTGTCAAAAGGGATGGGTGTCGAAAGAAGAAAAAGGGAAAAAAATCGTTCTGCAGTACTTCCAATCTTCCTTGCTTTTTCGGAAATCCGTACATTCCGAAAGTTCAGTAATTAGAGAGAGAGAGAGCAGCAGTAGCAGCACTTGCCTCCGTAACTTGTCGGATATTTACGGTAACTCTCGGCTATAAGTTGTATTAGAAACTGCCAGATTGCGCATTTCATACATTCGACGTTATCACAGATAGGGTGTCCTGTACCTATGACATCTGAGATTTCATCTTTACAGTTTGCTATTGCATGTTTTTTTTTATTACCACTTATGTCAATGGAAATTAGTCACTTGAGTGGAAGAGGATGCATTGGAAGGTAATTTATCGGCCAACAATGAATAGTTTTCCCCAATTTCATGGAAGTGTGCACCAAACAGTGTTTCTATTAGTAAAGTAAATGGCTGTCCGCTTTAGTATAGTAAATGGTTATCCGCATTCTGGAGTTGAAATATTTTTTAAGTACCAGCTGTCATAGGTACTCTTAGGACTCAATATTTTCCTAGGAAATATTGGTATGAAAGTTGATGATCAATGTCAGATGATGATGGAGAAGGTCGATTTTTAAAAAGATATACGTATGAACTATTTTTTGTGTATGGTCTCTGTTGTCTTTCTTTCCATTTTTCTTCTTTAATCTTTACTCTTGCTACCAGGTTGAGTTTTCAGAATTCAAAATACCCTTGTTTTAAATTATATGTATTACGTTCATACAAAATCATGCCAAGAAAGAATTGGGTGCATCAGATGAGCTAAAATCATGTTTAACTGATTGGAATTATTTCCCAACTCCAAATGGTGAACAGAGGAACATTCTAGCCAATCTTTTCAGTTACATTTTGTAATGCTTTCCAGGTGGCTGCAGGATACCTTTGATGTACCCTTGGTGATTCAACTGACTGATGATGAAAAATATCTGTGGAAGGATCTGAAAGTTGAAGAAGTTCTGAAACTGGCTGTCGAAAACGTCAAAGACATCATAGCTTTGGGTTTTGATGTGGAGAAGACCTTCATCTTTTGTGATTTTGATTTTATAGGGTAAGGGAAATGTGCTGGTATGGGAGACCAGTTCTGGTGTCTTTTTTGTTCAGCTGTATTGATGTTTTATTCATTTAATTTTTTTTTTTTATTTTAAAGAATGTTTCTTTCTTCAAAAACCTGATTTCAATGTCATACTTGTGTGTGACATCTTTTTTTGTTGTTGTTGTTTGATTTCGTTTGCTGTGCTGGTGCTTCAAGCTAAATATTATGACAGCTGCTGGCTTTTTAAAAGGATTCTCCTCAGAATACTTTTTCATTATTTGGCTGTGAAGTTCAAAATTGGTTAAGTTTGGAAAGGGATCACTGTTATGATCATGTGAAATATTGTTTTGCTCCTCTCAAAATGGCAATAAATCTGGATGTTTTAAGCTTTTTTCAAGTTCCAAACCCCCATCAAGTGTTATGTCTTGCATTTTCCACCACTTCAGTGGAAACATAGAGTATCAGCAAGTTTCCTTCTTTGAACTCTATCTCGGGCAAGCCTTCTAAGCTCATTCCACTTTTTTCTTACCCCTAATGTTTCAGCTTCACCTGTTCTCCTCAATTTTTTTTGTTTTTTGTTTTCCCTTTCGATTTTACTCGGTATCCCGGAAAAGCAAAAAATAATTATTATTTTTTTTTTTTTTTTTTGTTTTGGGGGGGAGGTAACCTCTGTTTTTCACTTAAGGCATTTGTGAGGATCAGTATCTGAGCAGTGTCTGTGACTGGTTTCTGGTCCAAAGCACATGCAACTACTCTTCAGGGACAACCTATTAAAAATACTTGCACTGACATGATGTTACTGAGAGTTCCTCAGATATCCCAAGCATAGTTCGTCAAAGACTGATTCCCCTTGAATTTTTAATATTGCTCTTACTTCTTCTATTTCTATCCACCCTCAGAGTGAATTCTTTTGCAAAATTGATATTTACTGAATCGTTAAAAATTTTGACTATTTATTATTACTTTCTTAAGTCTGAAAGATTAGCGATTTATTTATGTATATTTTTTACAAACTATGTCTTGTGAATGTCACAATATTTCAGAGGAGTTTTATTTGAATATATTTGTGTTCTTAGGCTCCCACTGAACCTCAGTTGTCATCTTTTTGGGGGTGCAAAGTCACATTCAAGCATTTAAGATTCTTGTATTCTATTCAAGGTGTTAGTGAAGGTACAATCAAGACTTGTGAATGAAGTAATGAGTATTGGTTAATGTCTTCTGTTTCCAGGCAGTGTCCAGAATTTTACAGAACGATGGTGAAAATTCAGAAGCATGTAACATTCAACCAAGTGAAAGGCATCTTTGGCTTTGATGAAAGCAGTAGTATTGGCAAAATTGCTTTCCCAGCTGTACAAGCCACTCCAAGTTTTAGTGGAGCATTCCCGTTCATCTTCAATGGAAAGAAAAATATTCAATGTTTGATTCCCTGTGCTATTGATCAGGTAACAGAAGGCAATTAAAATGAAAAATAGTTTAAAGATAGAAGATGCCTCATGTACCCCAAACTAAAATGTAAAAAATAGGGACGGCTTCAAAGAGGAAATGTGTCCACAGCTCAAAATTAACCAGATGATCTATCAATAAATGAATTTGAAGAAATACTTAAGGTTTTGTTTCAGTAAGAATGTTCATGATTCTTAAAAACACTATGTTTTTGTTTTTTTTAACGAATGAGGCTGTTGAAGTTAGATTCTAAGAAGAATTTGCATTTGACCAGTTTTGGTGCTATTGTGGTTTTAAAAAAGTAAGTTTTATATGTGTAGAGTAGAGAGTGTAACGCTATTTATAAACAAAACTAATACTGGTGATATGTTCATTTCAGGATCCATACTTTAGAATGACAAGAGATGTGGCTCCCAGACTGAACATGGTGAAACCTGCCCTTCTTCATTCGGTTTTCTTTCCTGCATTGCAAGGGGCCACTTCCAAAATGTCTGCAAGTGATCCAAACTCCTCCATTTTCTTGACGGACACTCCAAATCAAATTAAAAATAAGGTATTGATGCACAAAACACTTTTTTTACATGGCTCTTATGCAATTTAGTGGACAAGTATATAATGTATCATTTGGTTGATGGGGGGTGTCATAAATAAAGAATATTGCTCCCCAACTGCCCTACAAACTAGTATCATTAAGACAAACCATAAACTAAAAGACAAATTGGGGGGTGTAGCCAAAGAGTGAATGGTGAGTGTATTGCTGATGGAACAGGCAGCTGTGATTTTTCTTGCTTAGAAAAGTGTCTGTTGTTTTGAAGTTCTGTCTCGCATGATAAAGATTGATTACAATGAGTGCCCATAAACGAAATCCAAATGCTTCAATTGCAATGATTTCATTAGGTATACTTTGCTCCAGTCCTGCCCAAGACATCCACCTGTCTAGGACAGCGACTTTTTCCTCGACAGTGGGTGGCTGTCTTAGACAGGTTTGACTGTATATTGCTGGTACAATTCACTCTTACACAGGGAGCAGAACTTTCCTATTGTTGTTTGTTTATCTTTCTTTATCCCTTTCAGAGGCTTCATAATAAATAATTGTATAGTCTACGAAATCTTGAGCCATTCTAAACTTAATAAATAAATAATCAGAATATTTTGTACTTTTCTCTTTAGATAAACAAGTACGCTTTCTCCGGAGGTCAAGCGACAGTAGAAGAGCACAAAGAAAAGGGAGGCAACTGTGATGTGGACGTGTCCTTTCAGTACTTACGCTTTTTCTTGGACGATGATGAGAGGCTGGAGCAGATCAGAAAGGTATGTAAAATAGGTACCGCGACCGCAAACTGACCGTTCGCCCATGGAGACCAAAACCACTTGATATATATCAGAAGAAAGAGGAGGAGCTTTTCCTCTTTTTAGTGGTATTATTTATTTTAATCCACAATTCTTTTGAAAGCAAAATCTTGTGGGATAAAAGATACTATCAAGGTTTTCACTGCAGCGACCACGCGTTTTGTGCATCGGTTTTTGGGGTGACCTCGGTTAGACTGAAGCGGGGAGCATATGGTATTAAATACTGCGATTTGATTTGTCAATATTTTAAGATGAGAAAACACTCTTTCTGGTGATATATTTCTAAAGACTTCCCTTAAAGAATTAATAGAAGAGATTTGCTTGTGAAAATTTTCTATACTGTTTTTTATGGAACCAGTGATGGGACTATGGAAATATATCAGCAGAAAGCCCATTCATTCCTCTTCAAGAATAACACAGCCGCCATACGAAAATAAATACCTGACGCTCCCCATCAGCTCGCAAGCAGGGCCACCATCGGGTCAGTTTCGTATATATTTTTTCGCCTCCACGTCAGCGCGCCCGGCGCGCAGCCCAGAAGCCGGTGTTCGTGAGTGGTGATTTTAACCTCCCCATGTATTTCGTGCCATTTTGGTCAAAAGGCCATGTTTACATCAATAAATTTCCATCTTCTGGTTATATGATACCCCTGAAAAAAAATTGGGCTTGTTCTTTATGTGCATTGGTGTGTGTTGTTAACAAGTTTTTTGTGAATTTCCATTCAAATTTAAGAATGCTATGGCATCTCAAAGTGCAGACATTTCGCAATTTAAAAAATATCGCGTTTTTCTGCAACTTCAGATGTTCATAACTTTGTATAAATTTGGTATAAAAATGCTCAGAATAATAAAGTCTATAAGGTGGTGCAGTTAACTATGAAATCAGAGGACTTTGAAATTTCAGTCTGTGATACCAAGTGGAAAGCAGACAATAACTCGAGAGAAGCCTCCTCTGAGATTTTTGTTGAATTCACTAATTCAGAATTTTTTGAAAATGTTTACTCATTTGATTAAGATGCTTTAGTTCATATTTGTTTGCTCCTTATGGCTTGTGCCAGTTTCATTTTATTTACCCATACTTTGAAATACAAGACTCGAACTAATTAGTGCTCCTTGTGTTCACTATGTTTGTGTTTTTTAGTTTGTTTTGTTGTTGTTGGGTGGGGTTTTTACAGTAAAGAATACGTTTGGGGAAAGAAGTTCTTGATTTTTTAACCACTTTATGACACTGGCCTTATGAAAATCTGTAGAGATGACTTTAATCAATTTGGTTTGTAGAACTTTTAAAAGAAATTGATATTTGTTTTTTATTGTAGATAGTAACCTAGTTCATTTCAAATATCTGAAGATTTTATTTGAGCTAAATTAAGAACTTATAAATAAAATATGAACATTATGAGGGTGGAAAGGTGGCTTAGACAGGTAATAAAGGAAAGTATAGTTGACAAAGAAATTCTCTGGTCTCGTTCTGGGTTTATTGTAGAGATAATTATATTAGTTAGTTTGATTTGATGACTTAACATTGACTATTCCATTCTTTATACAATCCTAGAAATAAAAAATGGAAGAATCTGATTGTTTTCATGAGGTGCTGTGGTTCAATCACCTGGAGTCATTTTATTGGTATTGCTGTGTTTGTTGCATTTATCAGGTCAGACAGAAGTCACTCTGTTTAGACTGAAGGGACTGATCTTTTATACAAAGGGGAAGAGCGGAACGGGTCACCTTTATAATAGATTGATAGCAATGTTGAAAAGAAATTTTAAAGACTGGACAGTGGTTATCTTTGGAAGTTATTTTTAAATGTGAGCATATCAAGCTTTGTAAAATTATATTGACAGGTCAATAAGGAAAACCAATTTGATCACCAGTGCCCTTCCCATCCAATAAACTCTACTTGAAGACGAATCCCTATAGAGCTTGTCACTCTCACCCAGTGCCCCCCAGTAGCTTAGGCAACTCACAATGTCAGCAGAATTAGGAGAAGAACCTGCTTTTTCTCATCTGTTGTTTTCCTAAGTGACATGCTTTTCTTTTACAGGACTACACAAGCGGGGAGCTGCTGACTGGCTTTCTGAAAAAGGAACTAATAGGTGTGCTGCAGAAACTTATTGGGGAGATCCAAGAGAGAAGAAAAACTGTGACAGATGAAGTAGCCAGAGAGTTTATGAGACCAAGAAAGTTAAAATTTGATTATTAGTTTCAGTTTGGGTTTTTTTCTTTCTTTTTTTTTTCTCTTTGGTCCCGGTATAGAGTGTATGCTTCATAATGACTTAAGTGAGTGATCTCTATAAATTGCTTCCCAGTTCAGCAAAAGTCTGTGTAAGCTCAGTCTTTAGATTGTCATGGCTGTCCATTGACCTGTTGAGGAACAAAATTCTTTTTACAAACTGGGCAATAGTCTGTTCCCTTTTTATCCCAAGTTTTTTAGCGAGGACTGAACACAAATAGAATGTGATCATGAATTATTAAAAGAAAGGGATAAAATTAAAGTTTAGGATTTTTTTTGTCCCGGAGACAAAAGGACAGTGGGAATGTTCATCTCTGCTCACATAATTTGTGAAAGTATAGTCCTCTTATATCGACATCCAATTTATCGACATATTTTTCCAATTACTAAATTTTTCCTTCAACATCTTCACTAAACAATCTCTCTTATCTCGACTTTTTTTTCTTTGGCCCACTCTGCTTTATCGACATGCTTCCTCGGTACCTGGTGAAGCCAATGAACATTAATGGGGGGAAAAGCCGCGCCAACGGTCAACACATTAGTTCTTCATTAAATCAACATACCCGCCAAGTAGCCTATTGACACACCAGGCTTTAGTAGGTCAAGTAGGACCTACACAGTGTAGTCTCCAACACAGTACAGTGCCTCCTCCCTACCCCCACTCCTGATCGTGTTGTCATTTTACCGCTGACCTCCCCTTGTTTCTTCCTCTTTGGCTTTATATTTTTATATATCGACATCAAATCCACTCCCCAAAGCATGTCGATATTAGCGGATTATACTGTATCTCATAATTATGTGCAGGCTGGTAGCTTTTTGTCAGATGTAGTAAACATGTTATTGATTTAGTAGCTCTTGTTTCTTGCAGATTGATGCAGGTGTCTTGTTGGAGTTGTAATTTTTAATTCCGAAGCTCCCTTGGCATACCCTTCAGCCGAATATTGTGAAGACTTGTCTTTGACTACATTTACCTTCACAGTAAACCTCGAGTCAATTTTTACTTGCGTAAAATTGCTTTTATTTTGAAAAAAATAAAAATGTGTCGTTGAAATTGTCATTGAAATTAAGGTGATTTGTGTGGCAACCGCTGAGCAGTACAACTTATTTAAGTTTTATCTGTATCAGGAAAAGTTTTCGTCGCCAAGTTTGTTTAGATTTAATGTATTGCAATACTCTGTGATTTTTTGAGCCATAGAAACAGAACTGCTGTGCAGTGTACGATACAAGAGATGGTAATGAAATGAAATAATGAAACCACAAATTTTTACAATACCACTCAAATTTGGATTTATTTGAAAAATTCTTGCACCATTTTATTGGAGCGTAATACATGTAAGTACTTATCCAAGTACATGTACATGTATTTCTGTAAGTTCAGTCTTGTTGCTTTTAAATCTTTTTTTCAAGTCTGTTAGAAATATTGTTCTATTAGGGGAAGTATCAATAGTATGATTATGAAGTCCATGATGTTTGACCAAGAATTTTTTTTTCCCGATCATACTTAGCCACAGTTTTTTGGGGGGGTTCCCATTTTTAAACTCATTTTTTCAAATTATGTTAGTCATGGAAGATTATAAGTGTATAAATGAATCAATGTCATAATGTATTTATTAAATCACTTTGCTTCATGCTCAATGACGTGTGAGAACTAAGTTTTTTGGACATTGTCGGAAATTGTGCGAAGGAAATTGTTCAAAATCCCTTGGAAAGGGAAATTATATATGGGTGGCTGGTGGGTGCTCTCATGTGGTTTACTCCTTCTTTCCTATCAAACGTCTGTCACCTGACCTCACCTTCTTTTTTTTATATTTGTGTTTGTCACACTCTTCAGACACTTCTAATCTTCAGCACTTATATGACCTAATTGTGTCGCAAGTGCTGTAAAACTCTTACAGACTTACTAAAACATAAGGAAACCATATAATTCAGTCTGCCTTCGTTCTGTTCAATCTGGGTCAGTGATAGTGATAAGTTTCCACGAATGGGACTTGCCTCTCAGTGTAATGACTGCTGAAGTTTAACACCCAGGTAGGTCGTTAAGGGGTTCGAGCCTCAGCTCGGTCCTATGGTGTCTCATTACGAAAGACACCTTTCACGAATTTTGCCATTATTCTGGGTCCTATCGGAGATGGATGTTAAATTCGGAAGTCCTGCCTTACACTACTTACAGTGCTGAAAAGAGCATTAAACCTAAAACCTACACAATTGCGTACATTGTGTGTGATTTCTATGGTAAAATACTTTGTTCCTTGACCCGTTTATGGGACGAAGAGGAAATATTCCAGGACAAATATTTTGGGACTCCCTCACAATCGAACCTTGGAATTTTCTGTGGATAGATCAAGTCGGCCATCCTCTGATCTCACAGCAGATATCTTTTGAACTCAAAATCGAATCGGAAGTTTGCTGGCCCCAGCACAAAAGCCCTGATTTCCGTCACTTTTATCTTAGCACTTATTCAAAAGACTACTAGCATGTTTTAGAGAAAGATGAAAAGTATGTTTCTTTTGAAAAATTTTTGAGGTGCTATTCCTGCTACACTGTGGGGTTGAGGTTCAAGAAGCTTCTATTTTATAATGACACATCCTGATCATAATATGGGCGAGGTTGTCATAATATGGTCAGAAAAGCTATTAATTTCTAAGTTTTCCTCTTCTGCTTGCCCTTCTCTGACTTTTAACTGCCAATTTTCGCTAACCTGGATATCTCTGGCATCAACCTTCAAGTTTACTTCCTTGCCCTGGCATTAGGTGTACTGTAAAAATTGTTTTTAAAAAAACAAACGTCAAATTTAACACAATATCACCATAGCCCCAAAACAAGCCGTTGAATGAACAATTGGGAAAATATGTTCTCTACAATAAAGATATTGGAAATTATAAGGATTAAAAGTGGCTCCCCAGAACCATATAAAATTTGAATGAAAGATGAAAAAAAATGCAAGCAAATCTTACACTTAATGATACATGTAGTAATGCTTAGTATTATACAGAATATACCAGAAATCAATGAGCATAAAATTCTCTTTCAAGAGATTAAAATTTTCTCATTACTTTATTTGCGCTAGTAATATAAGAAACATTATAACATGCATTATATACATGCATGCACAAGTTCCACTGGTAATTAGAACAGAATGCATAAAATGCTTGATTAACATACAATGTGTGTATAATATATTATAAGACATAACAGTAACAATATAAAGATGACAATTTACAGATGTCATAAGTTTAAAAGTACAGTCAAATAACAATTCAAGTTCATTAGAAGATGCGTTATGTTTTCACAGCACTTTATCACAATTAGAATTTGGCAATAACACCCACATACAGAGAAAGTGAGACATCAGGGAAAAGAATAGTAAGAAAACTTCCTTTCAGTATTTTGCCATGTTACTCACATTATAGTATTGTTGCTGAGGCTGAGAAATAGGTCAAGCTGCAGGCAGTGGAAAGCAGAAGATAGGTTCCATCTAGCTGCATTCTTTTTTCATTCAGGATAATTTATAATATTATCACAAATGTATATATGTCAAAGGTTTTGCATTCGGGAAGTTTCTTTGACCCTGTAAAGCAAACATTTCCTTTTGTGGAATGCTATGGTTTCAGACACAAAGCCATTTAAAGTTGTATGAGGGGGAAAAGCAACAAAATATATTCTCAGCATACCAAAAAAGACAATGTGAATTCTCATTGTCCCCTGCTAAAGTGAGATTCCATGCAATGCATTCAGTAATGTAATATAGTCAAACTTGCACAAACAGCCAAGTGTCCAAAACAATCACCTGTTCAAAAGGCCTCGTACCATTTCCCCCCTTGCGTTTTTTTTATGGTATAAGTATAATGGCACTGACCAAGACGCCCACTTGTCAAAAACAACCATTTTTCTTCTCACAAAGGGAGGCCATCTTGGGCAATTTCGACAGTACATTACATCTTTTAAATCAAGGAATTTTCAAAATACACCTAACCTAAAGAAAGATCCATAAAAGTTAAGAGCCCATATTTGCTGACATGAAATCAAACTGCCAGTGAATAACACAACCATGATGTGTTTCTAATTAATATTTTCTTTACAGTTTGTAAAGTCAAAACAATTGCATGAAAATGAAGTAAAAGTCATTGCTATTTTTTAGGTGCTTCTCTTTACAATATATTACACTTTGTGCATAACAAATAATAAAAATGGAATATAATGGTCATAACTATAAACAGTATGCTTCAAAGGATGAAAACTAAAAAGTTAACAGACGTAACGATTGTATTTTATGGCAATTAACACACGATTGGTATTGTTTTCCCTGTAAATTGTTCTCTACATATGTTTTTACCATTCTCTTCCTCAGTTCAACAATAATTATTACATCGTAATGAAGATATTTTTTCCATGGGATCATAGCAGTCATTCCAAAATTTGCTGACTTTCAACTTGTGTTCCGAAAAGAGAACTGGCACTTTGTGAGCTTCATGGAATGTTAACTAGAAGAATAAAAATAAACATACTAATTTGCCAAGAAATTGAATAATTCAGAATATTAAACAATTTTCAGACTTATTGTTATCTCTGATTTTGCAGGGTATCGATTGTTTTATGACACTTAAAATTAAAATATAGTGACTAAAAATCTGAAAGACTGCCATTGCGTACAGTGCAACCACTACTCATTCTTCAGCGTATTCTTCACAAATAACAACTACTTCAGCCAGAACTACCTAAATAAAATAAAAAATCCAGTAAAATTGATATTCAAAAATTATAATTTGAACCTACTTAAGTAGGCTACATTACAAGATACTGACAGTAAAATATCATGAGAAATATCACAGTTGGTTTTTTAATAAATTTACAAATATATGTGTGTATTGTAATAATAGATGACACATTTTATTACATCCTTGGTAAGTAAGAATGTCCTTTCAACCCCTGGAGAAGACTCATCGATAATACACTGGGACCTCATCCAGTTCTTCCCCAAGACTTTCATCATCAGCCTCAGCTCCATCTCCATCTTTGTTCTTCTTTTTCTTCTTTTTGTCTTTGTCTTTCTTTTTCTTCTTATCTTTTTTATCACCACCATCCTCATCTTTCTCTTTCTTTTTATCCTTTTCATCTCCCCCGTCTTCATCTTTCTTCTTCTTCTTTTCTTCCTTATCACCAGACTTGTCTTTCTTCTTCTTCTTTTTCTTCTCCTCAGAGTCATCCTTTTCTTCTTTGTCCTTTTTGTCTTTCTTCTTATCCTTATCTTTATGCTTCTTGTCATCACCATCTTCATCCTTTTCCTTGTCTTTTTTCTTTTTCTTTTCCTTCTTGCCATCTTCATCTTCACTTTTTCCTTTCTTCTTTGCCCCCTTCTCCTCATCATCTTTTTTCTCTTTCTTGTCATCTTTGTCCTTCTTTTTATCTTTTTTCTTTTTATCTTTTTTGCTCTTTTTAGCCTTTCCATCGTCCCCTTCATCTTCTTTATCACCATCATCTTTCTTTTTGTCTTTTTTATCTTTCTTTTTATCCTTCTTGTCTTTCTTGTCCTCATCTGATCCTTCTGCTTTGCTCTTCTTCTTTTTCTTCTTTTTCTTCTTATCGTCGTCCGATCCCTTCTTGGTACTGTCACTGTCACTGCTACTGCTGCTGCTGCTGCTGCTGCTGCTGCTACTGGAACTGCTTGAGCTACTGCTGTCAGAACTGCTGCTGGAAGACGAGGAAGAAGAAGAGGAGGAAGATGAAGAAGAAGAAGAAAATGAGGAGGATGATCTTGACCTTGATCGTGATCCTGGAAACTGCAGATAAAGAAGTAGAAAAAAAAGATAACTTTAAGAAAAGGTCAGTTACGACAAATCAAATAGTTTTAAGAAAAATTTGGTAAATGTAAGCTTAGGCCTTAGAATCGATGACAGGCATGTAATACATAGTGAAGTAACATTTTTAAATTGTTCATCATCATCTTCATCCAGTTCCAGATCTGTGACAGACATCGGCGATCATGGTTCTCCATTCATTCCTTTGGTCGGATGCTCTTAAAAAAGCTACGTTTTAAATTGTTCAAGACTCAAAACTCAAAAATGTTTAGTTGGGAGTCAGTTATGTACATAAAACTATCGACAAACAAAAGGAAGTAGAGTTAGTAGCATGTCTGAAAAAAAAAAAGTTTATTTATTTAGATATATATGTTAAAAGCCCATTTCAACACTGTCAGGTTATTTAAGAGGCAGGACCTTGAAATTAACATCCATCTCTGATACTATAGGACTACGCCAAATGGGTGGAGAGCCTGAAAAATTCCCCAAAATATCCCAAAGTCAAATACCCTGCTGAGGACTTGAACCAAGGCCATCAGCTACATAGTCTAAAATTATTCCAACTGAGCTAACAGCATGTGCCATGGCATGTGTGTAGCTTTTAAACATATTAACAATCTAAACCAGTAATGAGACAGTAAGATAAACAAGAACAAAAGAAAGAGTCAATAAAAATAGACACTCACACGCGCACACACACACACTGAGTCTGGATAACTTCGACTGAAAACAGTTTAAAATACAGTAGATCTGGTCCAAAAGAAAAACGTTTCATTTTTTTCTTTGTCATTGTAAGAAAACTACCAATTGGCCAAAATGCTCCTATAGCCATTATATCAAAAAGAATTTTCAAAGTTATAGCAGTCTAATATTTCACCAGCAACTCCTTAAGTATTGCAAATCATCAAGTCTTTTGTGCTTCGAGATGATGAAATAGAAAAAAAAGACATGTGAAAAGATATGGGTCAATTGGGGGCTAGAGATAGACATCACCCATATACTGTTAGCCTATAATAGCTGTCCCAAACACCAATAGGTCTACACACTGAGTACTGTGTATAGGTGACACAAGAAAAAAAAAATGTACATGGCCTATCATCTCTATAGCAGCTAGTTCACAAACACATGAGCATGTGATGTGTTTCATGATGTCACTGACATGGGGGTCTTTTCACTTCTATAGCGGAGGGAACTGTACTGCACAGTGTGCTGATCTATCCTTGAGTCTGTTCTGTGTGGCTGTTAGGTAGAATATTTAGCAAGCTGACAACGTCATTGAGAAAACACAATGCATTTAGCCTGCATCTCAAAATACAGTTACTGAGAGAGACAGATGACAGAAAAATTTCCAAAAGTGAAATTTGCAGCAGACATGTTATTCCCAACTTTATGCTGTCAACAGTCATTGCTGAGAGAAAAAAAAAATGAAACTGCAAAGAGCAGAAAGTTTTTCCATACCTCCATAGAGAAAATAAATTTCATTTTTTGGATTTCGGGGAGGAATTACTACCTCTGATTTGCACACTGATTGAGCAATCTCTGTAAACTGAAAGTACAACTAAACTGGAAAACATTCAGCCATCCAGCAGATTTTGGTTTAAGCGACCTCAGCTATATATATGGCCACACATTTTCATTCATACAGAGAAAGAGAGAATTTCTTTTAAATCATTATACCCGTGAGCTGTTGATTGAAAACAGGTCATCAACAGTGACAGTGGAGGCAACATCTGAGTCATCTAGGTTGTTCTCCTCGATATGCTTTCGAATGGCCTCCACAGTGGACTTGCGTATCCGGTTTTTGCTGAGTTTGATTCGACTTAGTCCCCCCAAATGATTCTGTACAAGATGAAGAATAACCTGCATACGAAAGGAAAGAATATCTTATACAATGAGAGGCATTGAAAACATAACAGACATACAGGTACCGTAAAAGACGCATATCACAAATTTCAATAAGAATATCATCTTTACTTTCAATTTTAACTCTTTTTAAACTGGCTACAATTATAGATAGTTTCCTCATTTGATTAAAGGTCCAGACTCTTAAAAGAGATAAAACAACAGGCACGTAAATTGTCAAGCTCTATAGCGACAGCAAACTATTCAACTGTCAAGAAAGCCAAATTTTTGGAAGAGAAAAAAAACAATTTCATTTTTAAAAAATTGTGTCTACATTATGATTCTTTTAAAGAAAAATTAAGAATTTAAATTTCAAAGAAAATATTTCTAAGGCACATGTAAATGATACCTCAGAATAACAAGAAACTACAATTTAAAAACTTGAGAGCAAGACTGCATAATCATAGAAATGAGAAAAAAGGAAAAAGGGACCAAAGCTATTTATTATAAGTAGTCCAAAGCTGGCTGTAAAACCATAACCAAGCATTACTTTGGAAAAATAGGAATTTTTTTCACGTATAAATGAATATTTTACAAATTTTGTATTCTCACCATCTCACCGGGCTTTCTATGAAATCGATAGACTCCACTCTGTCAGCTGACCAGATATGTCACTGTGGTATGATTTGAATATAAGATAATCACAAAATTCTAAATCATATAGGTTTTACACAGACTAAACAAATCTGTTTACCTGACCAGTATGCTCAGTGATACCACATCCTTCCAGATCCAGAATCTGAACTGACTGACTGGCAGCCATACCTACAAGAATGCAGCTGGCGCCATAGTCTCCCAAGGCATTGTAATCCAAGAAAAGCCAGCGAAGAGAGTTGCAGTTGGACAAGCACATGCCAAACTGAGCCCATCCTAAGGCACTGATGCGATGGTTGTCACTCAAAGTCAGCTCAGTGATGCCTGAATTTACAAACAAAATTGAGTTTGAATAAGTACTGTTGGTTTTTCTAAATATGCACTACTTATTCATTCTTGGCTGATGAAGAAAAACACTTTGTTACACTATATCACTTTGCAGATGATCCAAGTCGATCTACTTTTTTGTCTAAGATCATTTCTAAAAATTAATGCTTTTAAAAGAAAAACATTTTTCACACTCACTCTTCTTATTAAGTATGAATTTGGGGTATTCAATCATTAGGGTCTACCTTTCTGTTGTGTAACATCAAATTTGTCTATTTTGAAGACCGGGTGCTGCAAGTCAAATAATTTGAAAGTGATTCATCTTTACCTGGCCGATTATTCATTGGCAATAGCAATGAATAGAGAACATCAATTGACACGTCCCCAAGCTTGCAATCCCCGATATCAAGAGAAACAATTCCTGGATGGATGCTGATAGCCCTACCAAGGATTTGCATGCCAACATCTCCCAGCTCACTGCCATGAATGCTGTGTTTGAAAAAAAGAAAATCAAAAAATAAATCTAACGAAATTACACTCTGTTCTACTCTCCACTCTATCACAAACAGAATCATTATCTGGGTTGTTTTTTTTCTCTAAAGAAAACACAAAATAAACCTGGAAGGAGATCTGATTTATTGTACCGATTGTTGTATCCATATTATATTTCAAAATATATGCAATGAAACACATTTTAAAAGCATCCACTTCACAATACCTTTTTACCCAGGAAGGAAGTTGTACAAAATTAATATATCACAACAGTAACAAGTTCACTTGACCGAATGTCACGCTATGGGGTGTGGTACTTTTTGAAGCTTCACTCTTTCGGATGCAGGAATGGGGCTTGTCAGAACATCCAGTGCAGTTGTACACTGTGCACTGACGCTGACCCTTCACACCTCTGTTGCAGTAATCACATTCCCTGCCACTCTAAGAATGGTCAATCAGGTGCAGATTTCCAGTGAAATGTTCCACTTGGGTTGAAGATGCTCCGCCCACAATAAAAGTTTTGATAAACACGTTCAGCCAGTATCATTACCTCATCACCCTGTGAGCCAGGGGAAAAAGAAAAAGTCACTTTCCTCAAAGAAAAAAACAAAATTAATAACAGTTAGACCTAGGCCTCCATAAAAATATTTTTTCTTGCATAAATATAAAATCTAATTTAAGACTGTTTGAGTGGCGGGGGCAGCTACATAATAATTAATACGAATAGTGCCTATTTGCAACGCCACGTTGCGATTAACGCCAGTGCTAAATAAAACGCCTCGTTGCGATTAGCGCCAGTGCTAAATAAAACGCAGTGTGTAAAATATCAAGCTTAATCTGTACATCGTTATCGGAAATTCTGATGGCCGAAGTGACAGCGCGTCTGCGCTTGAAGTCAAACCATTATTTTTTTAGCGTGGGTTCGATCCCGGTCCTGGACGAGTTTTTTTTTTCTTTTTTGTTGTTGTCCTCTTCTCGACTGACCAACAAATTGTTCCCATAATTATATCTTGTTGCTTTGTAGGGTTTTTTTAGTAGTGATGAAGCATGCACATTCTGGTTTTGTCCCCAAGAGGAGCTCTGTACAAAGTAGGCCTTAGTATAGCCTATACTTTTCCTTTTACCAATGTAGGCCTGGTTTAAGTTCAGGTGGCTTTCCTTGGTCTGTGAGTCTAATTTATTTATTTTTTTAAATTTTAGGCTCAGGAGAAGGAAGAAAAAAACCCTTTCGGGACCGGGATTCGATGCCACGCTTGGAAGCAGTGAACATTTGACTTACAGAACGTAGACAGGAGACGGCTTGTATACGTTCTCTAGGCCTAACCTAAAGTTCGAGTTGCACCGTCTTGTTAAATTGTTATTCAAGCGTCTTTCGACTTAAACCTGCTCAAACTCTAGCTCAGATGATTATGATTATGAGAGATGAACAAGACCAGGGGCGGTTTGTTAACTAGGCAAGACCGGCGGTGCCGGTCAAATTTTTGTCTGCTGGACTGTTGACAAGAGATTTATTGATGATAATGATTTTCATTCAGTTTTAAGTAAATCTGAAAATAAAAATGCATCAACTGTCAAAAAAGCACCTTGCCGATTTGAAGGCGTTCAAATAGACAAGTGGGATTCACTGCTGTTTTGTCGCGACAGAGCCTCATTCCTTCACCTTTGTTTATCGCACCGGCTCATAACTTTAAATCGTCTCCCGTCAAGCCATCACGTCGCGGAACTTTGTACGAGGACAAATGGACACGGCGGGTACAGTGTACAGCGATGGACAAATCCATCGACTGCCCTAAGGAGCGAATATAACATCCCTTGATTGCCAAATTGGCCTCCGTGTTGCTAACAAAATCAGTAATGAGACTGTCTTGAGCAGCACAAACACATGAAATATTTTATCAGCAATACATGTAGGCCTACTTATCATTCAGCCTTTCTCTAACTATCATAAGAACATTTATTGTCAGCATGGCACTAATCTTTTTTGTTTATTGAATTTTTAGCCTCTCTGGGCCGAAAACAATGAGCCTGCCCCCTCCCTTCCCTCCCCTTATCCACTGTCACCGCAGCTAGACACCAAGTTCTATAATTAGTATTTGACACACTTCCCCACTTTGTTACAACAGTGTTCTGAGAACTGAGAAGTATGAAGAAGAACGTATGATTACATAATGATGAAAAACTGTTGTGTGCTAACTTTGTCAGGCTTTGTATAGTAACTGATTGTAGACTTAATCTGCTTGGGACAGCGTCATTGGTACAGTATCAAGTTCTTATTACATATTTACAGGTCGACTGCACGTCGATATTGTGTGTGGGTGTGTAGAAAGTAAAAGTCTTTGGTCAAAGTACCGGAGGCCATGACCAGTTTGTCAGGCTTCTACTTTCAGTTTGTTTTCTAGCATAGACTCTAGTAGTGTTTCTTTTTCTATGCCGTTCAGGTCAGTTTCAATTAACTCAGTAATTTCCATCATACATTATTCATAATATTTATTTCTTGACACTACATTATTTCAGCTCTTTCACATTATATTAAAATGTTAACAGTGGTGTGTGTGCGTGAATGGGGGAGGGGGTGGGGATGGCGAAAGTAGGGGTATAAAATGAGGAGAGAGAGAGAGAGAGAGAGAGAGTGTGTGTGTGTGTGTGTGTGTGTGTGTGTGTGTGTGTGTGTGTGTGTGTTTGTGTGAGTGTGTATTTGTATGTGTGTGTGTGTGTTTGTGAGTGTGTATTTGTGTGTGTGTTTGTGAGTGTATGTGTGTGTGTGTTGTGAAGGAAGGGGGTGGGGGAAGGAAGAAAGAGTCTATGTGAATGATGGCCCGTCAGTTCTATAAACCACGAGCCGCCACTGAACAAGACGTCTACTTTTGTGCAAACAATGTCAGAAACAATTGTTAGATCTAAATAAGACAACGTCATAAAAAAAGGAGTCAAATCCTAGGAGGTTTATCAAAAAACTGACAAAGCTTCCACAATTCACTGTCCCCGTAGGATTATGCGATTGTGCGGCCGTGTTTTTTCCGCATAATTCTGTAACGTTTGCATAATTTTGGATTCTCCGCGTTTTTTCACGTTTTTTCCCTTTTTTTTCACAAAACAATGAATTAACGCCTCGCCATGTGAGTAAAGGGACGTAATCACCGTAAAAAGTCTCATTTAAGTGAAAAGCTGGTTATTTCCCTTGTTAGGAGATCTTGGTATGGGTTGTGATTATAGTTTCTTGAGCATGTTTAATTTTTCGAAGTGGCTAGCCGTACTTAAGTACGGCTAGACTGCCAGTCTAGCAGTACTTAGATCTAGGTTTGGCCCAATCGACTCAAGCCTGTTAACTTGTACACAGGTCTCATTAGATCTAGATCTAGTAATTATTCAGGTTTAAATACATGCAAGTCAGTAAGGCACCTTTTGGTTTTGTCTGAAATACAAATACTTTAGGCATTAGTACGGCTAGCCTGGCTGTCTACCCGTACTTAAGTACGGCTAGACAAGAAGTCTAGCCGTACTTAAGTACGGCTAGACTGCCAGTCTAGCCGTACTTATCTTAGGCCCTATTTACATTAGACAACAGGAGGTTTAAAATACATGCACTGTCATTAAGGAACCTGGTTTTGTCTCAAATACAAATACTTTAGGTACTGCACACTAAAAATGTATATTTACAATTCAGTAGGCCTATTTTTTGTAAATGGTCAGTCTAGCCATCATATTAAGAGTAAGTACGGCTAGACTGTGAGTCTAGCCGTACTTAAGTACGGCTAGACTGCCAGTCTAGCCGTCATTAAGTACGGCTAGCCTCTTCCTTAATTTTTCAATCCATCAAAAGTTGTTGTTCTCATGTCTGCTGATGTTTCATGTTTGACAGGTGTCCCTGGTTTTAGTAATGTGCCAGCATCAGAGGTCCAGATGTCCCTTTTTTAAAAACATTTTTCTTCCTCTATATATCTAGATCTAGATCTACAGCTGAAAGTCACAGAGATTTATATTTTTTGGTTGTTGTTGGTTTTTTTTACTGATGTGTATTGTTTTCTTTTCCAAATACACAACAAATTACTGATACTGATATGTTCTGTTTTCAATTTTTCTGTACATAAAACATGAAAATCATGAAACTTTGTGTTGAAAAAGTGCAAAACATGTCGCGAATGGTGTTACAGTAACTTGCATAATTTTTGTATAATTTTGCTTTTTTTGTGCATAATTTGGCCTTCTAAATTTGCATAATTCTACAAGGACAGAATTCAGGCAGAACTTCAATATTATCATGTAGAAACGATGGCTACTAGAGTAGGCCCGCATCACCGCGCTACTGTTTTGGTGCGCAACCCCCGGTCTCCTGCTTTGTTTTGGATAAGAACAGCGAAAACGAGGTCATTTTCTGTGAGCATGCGCAGAATGCAGCTTATTTCACTTTCGTTTTGGAGGTTCCTGTCAACACACGTGATTCTACGGTGTCGGAAAGTTTTGCCCCTTCATATTAATGGTTTTCGTAACCGGTATCGATCAATTTACTAAGCGCTTGAGTAGTCGATTATTTAGCACATCTAGCTAATCTAGCTCTAATGTATCGTAGAATGTATACTAGAATCGATAAATACTATCGCAGGCTGCTTCTTAATGCCCAGGAACGTGTTAGATAGGGTTGCGCACTGAAGAGGACCAAATTTGGGCAGTCCGTTTCGTGCGCAATATCGGCTTTTTTGCTATTTGGCATTGATAGTGTGGCTTCTAGGCCCTTTGTTTGTTTTACTTATTAAGTTATTTCTCTATGACCTGCATTGTGCACTGAAACAGACTGTTTTCCTTCCATTTGGATGCATTATATTGCCATTGGAAGATGATAAGTTAATGTATTCATGTCAAAATTAATTAATATGGAAATATAATCTCCAAAATGTTCAATTTCTTCTTTTCATGTCTTTTTCTTCTTCTTTTTTGCCCTTTTCCTTAAAGAATACTAGTCTAGGTATAGTCTAATTCTTGTTTTCTTCTTTCACTTCCTTGTGTCCACAGCACCTTTCTTTTTCAATTTCTTCTTTTCACGTCTTTTTCTTCTTCTTTTTTGTCCTTTTCCTTCTAAAATACTAGTCTAGGTATAGTCTTATTCTTGTTTTCTTCTTTCCCCTTCTTGTGTCCACAGCACCTTTCTTTTTATCCATTATCAAAACACATACACAAGGTGTAAGGAAATCTCCTGTCAGGGGGCGCACAGCTCCCAAAAAGAACACGCCTAATTGACCTTGGCCTTCCATTATGGTCAGTACAGGAACTTCTTGCAAGGAAAAGAAGACAAAGCAAGGATAGAGAAAGATGAAAAGTGTCAGAAAAGAGCTAGATCTAGATCTAGAGCTGTAAACATGGTACTATTGCGCACCAAACAAGACGATATGTTGCACCAAACCAGAAACCTTGCGCACCAAACCAGACACACGTTACCAAACAAACACCACCACAACATATAGAAATTTTAAACTGCTGTTACAGTAATGCGCTACACCGTATAGAGAGGAAGTTTTTCTAACTTCTGGTGAAAAAATCATGAAGATCGACCTGTAACTTCCATAGATATCAACAAAAGATAGCTTACTGTATATCGCACCACAGGATGTACTCTACATCACATCTAGATCTAGATCTAGATTCTAGATCAAGTACTGGCGTTTCAAATAGCACGGGAGCTATTCAGAACGCAGCGTTGCAAATAGCACGGGAGCTATTCAGAACGCGGCGTTGCAAATAGCACGGGAGCTATTCAGAATGCGGCGTTACAAATAGCGCTTGCCTAATTAATAATGGATAGGCTAGGCTTTATTGTCATTTGAACCTGAACACCTTTAATCCCCCCCCCCCCCCCCCCCGTCTCCCACGGCTCCCGATTTCTTCATAAGCCCATCGCCTCTCAAACATCTTATATTAATGTATCTCTATAGCCGCGTTAACTTAAAAATCTTAAAATAAATCTGGAAAAATCCTAATAGTTGAATTTGAAGAGTAGAGGTTGGATAAAATACTCACTGTAAACCTGTTAATGACTTATTTTTTCTTATGCTCTGTGCTAGTAGTTCGACATGATGATAGTTAGTCACAATCCCAACGTTAAGTGTGAGTTGTTGCAATGAAGTGCATGGTCCAGTCAACTTTATAATACGGTGCAAGTCCCTTTCATCGATCTCACACTCTCGTAAGCAAAGCAGCTTTAAATGGTCTGACTTCAAAGCTCTGCATACTGCAACAACTTCTTCGTTGGAGAGAACTCCTCCTGATTTGTTGAACGCGTGAAATGACATTTTGCAAGTCTTCAGAACCCAAATGAAACCAGTCACTAGCTACAACTTCAAGGATTCTCGGTATGCCTAGGCGGCCATCTTGAACTGTAACCACAACAAAACAGAACCGCGGCGAATGATATTTTGTACAACTTGGCCAACGACCTATTGCATTAACCTAGGTGTACAAAATCAGGAGAAAAACCGTTGCTCTTGTACGTAAACCCGGAACAAGCTGAATGTGCGTAGAAAGGGCGTAGACTAGTTCATTAATAGCTACATGGCGAGCTTTATTACTTTTCGGTGTTTTGAAGCATTCATTCATTGAAAAGCTGTAAAGATATTATAACAATTGAGGTTTATCATGTATGAAATATTGCCTCCCCCCCCCCAAACCCAACACCCAAGCCTATACGTTCTTATACGATCTCTGACCGTGTAGACCCAAGCCTACTACGGTGAGCAACAACCCCTGAAAGCAAAATGTTCTACTGTGTGCTGTCAAATTTCATGACTCGACTTATTTTCCGGAACAAGCTAAATGTGGGCAGAAAGGGCGTAGTTCCCAATTAGCTACATGGTGAACTTCATTACTTTTCGGTATTTTGAAGCATTCTTTCATTGAATAGCTGTAAAGACACTATATCAAAATTGAGGTTAATGTTTGAAATAAATTATCTCCCCCCCCTTCCCCCCCCCCCCCCCCTCCCCCCCCAAGTCCCGGGGCCCACACTTAGGCCTATAAACGGTGAGCAACTCCTGATAGCAATTAATGTTCTACTGTGAGCGGTCAATACTTTGTGACTCAACTTATATTCAAATTAACATCTCAAATAACATGTGTATCAGTGTTACCCATACTTCTGTCCCCGTCGTTTTATGCAAGAAAAATTCAGAAATTATGCAAACTGAGCCCAAAAATGTGAAATTATGCGATTCTATTAATTTTAACAAAGAATAATTAAGGAAAATAATCTCTCTCTCTCTCTCTCTCTCTCTCTCTCTCTCTCTCTCTCTCTCTCTCTGAGAGAGAAACAATGTGAGCATAAAAATAAAATAATGTACAGTACCGGTACAGTCAAACCTCGATATCGGCCCGATGACTAAAAGACAGGCGTGCGCCCGTGACGAGTTTATTATTGTGATGACTCACAATACATACTATATGTACGAAGCCTACGTGTGAGAGGCCTGAAGCGGCCCGCGGACTGACGAGTATCGGGTTGAAGAAATTATGTGTCTGCATGGTCCTTTACACATACTATTATAGCCTAGCCTCCGATCCGGCAGAATTGTTTCAATCTATTAAAATAAAAATTCAGTTGGGGTTGTAGATGCTAATGTACTCGGTGTTTTTTTTCTTTGCGCATGACAGATCTTGATGAATCAAAACTGGCCTGGTCACAATTAATTGTCTTTAGTCTCTAGCCCATTACTAGATATCTATATTATCTAGTTAAGACGTTGTACCGCCAAACCTGGGACGAGAAGTTGATGTTACAGCGGGGCTGGTACATGTAGTATAAACGGGATGGCACCGATTGCTATCTTAACGGTGTTTGACTGCAGGCTACATCTGGCAATGTATTTCTGTCTAATACGTTTTCATATGCTTTGTTTATATAGCAACCATAGACTCCCACCCAGTCACCCTCCTAATGACAAAAAAATGGAACTCCCTTCCAAGTCATCCCCTCGAACTTGGACACGTATATATTGTGATGTCAGGGGGCTCTCGTGGTCAAGAGGTTATATGGTATTCGCATCTCATTCAGTAGGTCCCGGGTTTGAAACTTGACAGCGACGGAAAATTTCTTTTTTTAAAGAGTTCTCCTTTCCTGCTATGTAGCCATGCTATGTCATCTGCTTTCGTTTCCACTGTCTGCACTTCCCCTCCCCCCCACCCTTTGCCCCTTCCTCTTGGCTTGACTCCGTCTGCAGCCTTTCTACTGCTACTCCATGGCTCCTTGCTGCTGTCTTTCAGCCACACCCCTAATCTTAAGGTAGGTAAAATCTAGGTGTGTGTGTGTGTGTGTGTGTGTGTGTGTGTGTGTGTGTGTGTGTGTGTGTGTGTGTGTGTGTGTGTGTGTGTGTTTTGTGTTTTTGACTTTGACCCAATACCCGTCAGTCTTTGGGTCGTCTTAGACCGGTCATGTAGACTTGAGCGCGAGTCCTCACAATGTAGGCCTAATACATCATGTATTATGAATTTAATTCACAAAGCCTCATTGTCGTCCGATAGCCTGTTGGTCACCGGGCGACACCAGATATGTTTTGCCCACAGGCTGAGGGGATGCAGTTCCTTTGAAGTTTCACCAGACATTTCAATCCTTTTTGGGAAAAAAAAAGATTTTGATCAAAACCTAAAAATAATAGAATTTTCATAATCAGAGCAAATCCATACAATGTACATGTACCGACAGCATACTAAAAACAGATCAAGCTCTCGGAGATGTTTGTGGGAAAGATAATTGTCAAGCAGCCACCTGACCAAGAGGGTGTCGTGTGCCGTGTGTATCTGTGGCGGCCAATTCCCTGGCGGTTATGCAGGGGAAATTTACTTTAGTTTTATAAAGAGCGTGTAACTCAGACATGGGTGGATCGCAGTGTAAAGGCGTAAATACTATATTTATAAATACATGTGTAAATAGGCAATCCTTTTCGTTTGGCAAAACATGGCGGTAAGAGTAAGAGGGGCTAGTGATACAACGGGTGGGGGTATAACGAGGTTTGACTATTCATGCCTTTATTTGTTCGCTCCATTTTTCCTCCCACAGACTGGTGGTACAACTTTTATGGGGGGGGGGGGGGGGTTATTCTTAAAATAAGTCTGTCTGCCACTGCCAGAGGGTGTTCTCTGTTGATCCCAACAGGAGGGACAAGGAATCCATCGCCTGAAAATCGACCTGCTCGTTTCCTCGGATGACTACATAACATAGCTAGGCAACCAAGTAAACAAGATGTACAGTCAAACGCGGGTAGCTCGAATTCGTCGGGGATTGGAAATAGTGTTCGAGATTTCCGTAATTCGCCATGTCCGTGAAAGCTCCAAATACAAAGAAATAGAGAGAAAATCAAGGAAGGTTAAAAAAAACATAAAAAATTTAACGTGGTTAGCTACCTTGATGGACGTGTTGACGGTGTGAAAGCAAGAAGATTAATGAAAGTGGAAAGCAGAAAATCTCACGTGTGCACAGCCGACTCTTACACGCAATGTTGCCATTCTTAGTTTTTTACCACTAAATTTAGTGTTTTTTGGGTCGATTTAGTTTTTTAGTTTTTTTGCAGCACATTTAGTGGTTTTTGTTTTGATTTGTTTTACTTACAACAATCATATAAAATCGATTAAATAATTTTGTCAATCTTTTGTAAAAACGTTATAAATTAAAAATAAATAAATAAATAAATGCGAAAATGATGACTATAGTCAAACCAAGAACAGTCTAAAATCTGGCCTGTCTAAAGATTATCAAGAGTCATAGATGTACAATAGGCCTATATATTATGAATATGTTTGACTGGTCAGAGATAAAGAACCAGCTATTACAGTTTTTTTTTTTTAAGGAATAAATATGCAATAGAAGGCAGATTTAAAAATTTTAAGTTTTTTTCCGTCCCATTTAGTGGAATTTTTTTCTCCAAATTTAGTAGTCTCTTAAAAATCTGGATGGCAACACTGCCTACGTATGTCATTCCTTTCCTCTCATTTCATTGGCTTACAGAGAGTTACGCCTCTTGCCATCCGCACCGCGTGCGTCTCACAGTCTCACAGCATGATTGCACTCGTGGCGATCCAGTCATGCGGTGCTGTCAGCACACAGAATTCCACACTGCAGATGATAGTCCCTTTCGTTAATCCGTTTTAACTGCGCAACGTGTTAGAGACATTTGGCTATGCACATTCAATTGTATGTGCATAAAATAGTTGTTTGAGAGGGGGATCCAATTACTGGTGGTATTTAATTAGGCGTGAGAGCTAATTAAAAATCACTCATTTAGCTATTTGACCAAAACCGCGCACCGTACAAAAAACCCCAGCCTCCCATGCCGGATGTAGCTGACAACACTTTTCCCCGCTGAAAACTCAAGCTTGAAAACTCAACACACACACGTTTCCGGTAGACCTACGCTTCGTGGACAAGTTCACAGAGCCGCCGTTTTACTACGATTATAAGGCGCAACTGTTGTGAATAGTTTTTTAATTTAGCCAAAAGACTAAAGCAGAGAAATTAAATACCATCATAAGCGCTATAGAGTAGAGAAAAGGGGGCTCTCGTGGCCTAGAGGTTAAGGTGTTGGCCTCTCATTCAAAGGTCCCGGGTTCGAATCCGGGTAGCGACCGAAAAATTTTCTTCTCTAAAATTGTCTCCTTTCACCTCCTTTCCTGCTCTCTAGCAATGTTCTGTTGTCTGCTTTCAATTCCACTTTCTGCCCCCACCCCCTCACCTCCTTTGCCCCCTCCTCTGGGCTCCTGACTCTTTCTGCAGCCTTTCTACTGCTACTCCTTGGCTCCTCCTAACTGCTGTCTTTCTGCCACACCCCTGATCTTCTGGTAGGAAAGATCTACACCTAGCCTTCTCGGACAAGGGCGAAAAATCTCGGAGGTCCCGTGTGCAAGTTGTGCACGTTAAAGATCCCTTGGTGGTCTAAAATCGATAAGAGTAGGCTTCGGCCGCCACCCGGGCAAAATTCAAAATTTCCTACCAACTGAAAATATTAGGTGTGTCCCGCGCGCTCATATGACCTATGCAGTTGCGAGCGCCGTAAAACACTTTACAAAAACAAAAAACAAAAAAGAGTAGAGAAATTAAAAACAATCACTGCAATAGCAACGCTAACGCTAGCAAAATAGGCGAAAAAGTATGGTGCTCCATTGTGACCACAACCTACTAATTCTTTGGGTACACCAAATGCAGGATATGGCGATTGATGACAAAACAGCCGTAATATTCCGTTCTTAGACTTTGTTTGAGAGTGAGTGTTTTAATTTTTTGTGGAATAAGTGTTACTGTTCCATGAATGGGTTGGATAAGCGAAAGAATAATATCATTTACATACAGTAATGGACATGATGACTGAGCATCATCGTAATGCACGTTAAG